TTTTTCTGTTAAAAAACCTTAGCAACTGGCTTGAGAAACCTGCATGCCTAGTTGCAAATTAAAATTAAAATGGACAAGCTTAAACCACTTGTAGAACAGCTCTATAATAGAAAAGCAGACAGATCACTGATTATATCATTGCTAGCAGGCACCATTATAACAGGGTTGTTTTAACTCTACCCTCTAGCAAGGATTTTATCTGTCTGAAATGTAAATGAAATGGAATTCTGGCAACCTTGGTGCAGTCCAGACAAGCAAAAATCTTCTGAATACATTTGTAAAGGAGCGAGAAATATGGATAAGCAGAATTCTGAAAGATATTCAAAGCACAAGGCTCACTAACCTTAGAGGTAACCAGAAAAAAAAGGCAATATGAAGCAGCAGCTTGCATTTAAGAGGGCACATCTTAAAATGAGCTCAAGGAAGTTCAAGGAAGGATTTTAGGCCTACTAAGATCACTAACAAGACGTTAGGGCTCTACGAGGACCATGTAACGTAATGGATTTCAAACACTTTGTTGGGTCCGAGAAGGCAAAATACTGAAAAGCTCTGTCTTATTAACTGAATCAGGGAGTTGTGGCTTTGAAGTGGAAATGGATATCATTCGTTTAAAAACACCCTTGAATCAAAGAAGGACAACTTGAATTGGCACCTGGCAATGGAAATTTGCAAAGCATGTTCTGAAACTGCCGGCACATCACTTTCCGTCTTTGCACCAACGTTACAACGTTACCAACGGGCGTGGGCTTAGCCTCAGACATTCTAAGATCTAACGTACTCTCAAAACTTTTCTAACATTCTACATGTTTGGGCAACGGAAAAGTTTGAAGGTACTAAGAAATGTGGACTTGTATGTAGAAATATTCAGATGACAACAACAGTGGGCTATATTACAAAACCCTTCCCAGGGAGATGAACCCTGGTGATTCCATGACTGGAGAGGTCTGGAGTCTGCAGTGAGGGCAATAATTGGAGTGATCTCTACTTACTGGTAGTACAGCTCCTGGGGGAGTCACTCTGCTCTGCAGATACTAGTGCTTGTTGGGGTAGCATTATCTCCCAGGGGGATACCTGTGAGCTCTAGAAAGCAGCATGTTGCAGGTAGCAGCTTCTCGTTGGCTTCACCTCCTGTGGCCAAGGACATAAGCTCTTCTGACTTGTTGCAGGGCTGACCTCATGGAGTTGGAGTGGCTTCCATAGACCGCAGGTAACAGAGGGAGCATGGCATGTAACTTCCCTGTCATCTGCACAAAACTGTCCAATCTGTCTCCCCCAGCTCACATTTCTGTGGAGCAGAATGGAGCTGACTGATTCCCCCATCCCCACCCTACCCATTTTGAATGGAAACTGAATATATTTTCCCTGTGAACAATTCTAGTCATCTGCAGGTTCAGTCAGCAGACTAAACTTTAATAGTGGCAACACACAGGTGGGTCGGACGGAGTCAGACATTTGGTATGTGACAATAATAAGGAAAACACAAATCTATAAGTACCCATTTTAAAATTGAATTGAAGGGGATGTCTATATGGCAATCAGAAGTGTGACAGCAGCACATGTAGTTTTGATCTGGCTAGCTTGAATAACAATAGCAGTGAAGCTGAGACAGCATGGGCTAGCCGCTCAAGAACATACCCAGGGTCCGGGGGTGGGGTGCTGCCGTGGCTTCACTGCTATTGTTATTGGAGTTAGCCGGATCAAAGTGACACGTGCTGCTGTCACACCTCTGATCTGGGTTAAAATTTTCCCAAAGTTTGGGATTATCAGATTTTGGCTCTTTGGTTCAGGCCCATTGCTTAGAATTGATAGAACAAATCTGAATATGGCAACAAAGACAGAGGTGGGATGTTCAGTGAGAACCAACAGGACAGAGTCCATCTGTCCTAACTAGAAAGGGTTGGTCTAAGAATGAGAACTCTTTGAAAGTTCATCCCTTTCTTAGCTATATCTGTCCAGCTCAATGAATGGGTAAGGGGACAAGTTCTTTTATAGTATTTTACAGCCTCCAAAGCCCTGAACTGGCTAGGGGCAGTTTAGCTCTGCTCCCATCACATTTGTTTTGCTTGACTGGGACCCATCAGCTGATGGAGGCCAGATTTCATTTTGTGATGGCAGAGGCAAGGACTCATGGTTCTGGAACAGAAAAGCCTCTAAATAAAATAAAAGTTTTAGATATTAGCTATTAATTGCATCAGAGTAGTAAAAGACTGATTGTTTCTCTCTTCTCTAAATGAGAAACAGGCCAGATCTGGGTTTTGCAAAACCTCAGTCAGGTTTTGATCTTGCAAAATCCAATCATGGCGGATTCAGATCTGGGTTACATTGTGCCTCATTTTATGGGGTCAGATTATTTAAAAAAAAATAATTCCTAGACTAAACTCAACGGGGGGTAGATTTTCAGAAGAGCTCAGCAACCAACAGCTCCTGTCCAGGAATCGAAATAACTGGTCAGATTTTCCAAAGAGCTCTTTAAGATGAGAGTTCTGAAGTGGGTGCTGAGAGTTCTGAAAATCTGCCCATTTATGTTGGTGCCTGAATCGGAATAGCTGGCCCCCATTGTGGGCTTAGAGCAATTTTGAAAATCTGCCTTGGATATTTGTTTATTTCTGCTGGCGTGAAATAAATTTCTGTGCATAGGATTTGCACTGCTTTTTGCGTGGTCCTGCTGTAAGTCATTCTTCAATATCCCTTTGTTAAAATATAATGTGCCACATTCTTCCTGAGTGTAAATGCCATTGGTTTCAGTGAAGTAACTTTTCAATGATATTAGAGAAATTTATTCAATGGTATTAGGCAGACAAGGGCGGGGGAAGAGGTAATATCTTTTAGTGGCGCAACTTGTGCTGGTGAACGAGACAGGCTTATCAAAAGGAGGGTGATAAATTAATCTCCTTAACCACCGAGGATGGGACAAGAAGTAATGGCTTTAAATTGCAGCAAAGGAGATTTAGATTACACATTAGGAAAAAAACATCCTAACTGTAAAGGTAGTTGAGCACTCGAACATATTACCTAGGGAGGTTGTGGAATCTCTGTCATTGGAGGTTTTTTAGAGCAGATTAGACAAACACCTGTCAGGGATGGTCTAGATAATACTCAGTCCTGCCTCACTGCAGAGGATTGGACTAGGTAACCTATCGAGGTCCCTTCCAGTCCTACATTTCTATGGAGTCTATGAAACTTCCCTGAGAAAGTTAATCTTATGTGAACAGTTGCTGCATTACCCACATGGCTGTGTTATTAATTTGTCAGTAGGAGTGGAGCTGGTTTGCAGGATCACACGGGAGGAGAGGTGTCTATGAGACAATCTTTCTAATGGAGCTGTAGCTCATAATGTGAAAAAATTCAAGCATCCCGGCAGACATTTCCTTTCTGTGAAGATTCTACATGGAGCACTTCTTCCAGCCTGATGTTACCAAGATATTACCTCACCTGCCTTGTCTCTCTAATAACCTGGGACCAACCTGGCTACAACAACACTGCAAATACTATTCAATGATGTACACTCTGGACACGTTGCTGTATACATCAGTACACTAATTTACAGAACACCAGGATTTTCCCCGTTCTAGCACGTTGAAGGATGTGGATTTTTTAGAGCGTTTTTCAACTTATTGGTTGCTAACTTTATTGTAAGACCACTTACAACAACCATTGTGTTTTATAATAGCTTTTTCATAACTTGTGTATTTCAAAGAGATAAAAGAACAGAGCAAACATGAAAATACTTCCCCAAGCCCCATGAAAAATAAGAGGATTCTTCCCCATCCCAGCTTTAGAAATGGTTACAAAAAAGGAGTGAAATCAAATATTTCTAGGCAACGAATTGCACAGCAGGAGGGCATAATGAGAGAAAGTGTGACCACCCAGTGCTTAATAGCTGACTTTCAAGACAACAAAAATGGTTCAATTAGAGAATCTGTGTGCTTGTCCTAGGGTGTAAAGTGAATCAATGAAAAAACAGTGTTTAAAGCATGGAAAATGTTGCTCTGTGTATGAACAGCAGTATTCGTGTACAAGTCATTGTGATACTTTGTAGAAAGCCTATAGGAACCTTTAACTGCATAGCTGCAATTATTACAGTATATGGGGAGATAATTAGAAAATTATAAAGCAGGTGTCTCTAATGGTACTATTGAGCATAGCTGTGAGTGATGGCACAGCCAGCCAGGAGCCTCAGTCTGTTATTTGCACATCATATGATGTTATGTATTAATTGATATGCTGATTACATATGGAAGCGTTGGGTTCTGTTTATCTGAACTCCTGCATGGCGTTGCATTGAATTATACCTGTCTAGTTACCCACGTGAACAGCGTTATATTTAAGATTAAATAGTAATGTCATATGTCTTAAATGCACATGGCTCTGTGAGCTGGAGAGGTGGCTAAAGGAGGAGCATGATCTAAGCGGGGGTCCCTGAATGTATTGTACCTTTGCAGTACATGAGCAAAGATACCGCCATGAAGGTGCTACAGAACGGGTCATGCTTAAGAAGTGGCAGCTGCCACCCCTGTTATGCAGATGTAGCCTCCACTTCCCCCCAGGCCGATCTGCAACCATCAGCATGCACGGGGGGGGAGGGTGGTACTGTAGCTCCTACTGTCAAACTTTTCATGATGGTTTTCTTAGTCACCTTGAGGATTTGAGCATCTGATGAAAAAATAAAACAGGTTCTAGATCCACTGGATCTTCAGCAATGATGCAAATGCCTTAAAGGGTCAGGGAGGTTCAATTTGGAAAAGCATCCAAAAATCTGATGACGATCCTCTGCTGGCCATAACGGAGTGTGGCTTCTAACTGGGACATTATAAAACAGCTGTGCAAAATTGTCATTCAAGTTTTCCTGCCGAGGCATCAAAATCTATTTTCTCACCCCTCACCAGGCTGGGAGATGATAATGAAAAGACTAATATATTGACTTGCTACTCGGGTGGAAGTTTTGAAGGCTGTAATGTGATCCTGAGAATTAAGGATAATAAATACACATCCATTTACAGGCCTACCCGTGACAGTGATGATGAAGAGGATGATGAGAGGAAAGGAAGAGGCTGCACCCTTCAGTACCAGCATGCCATGGTGCGAGTCCTCACACAGTTTGTAGCAGAGTCTTCCGATTTTGGGGGCCAGCTGACCTATATGTTGGGCTCCGAGTGGCAGTTTGACATCACGGATCTCGTGACCGATTTCATGAAGGTAGAAGAACCTAAGATTGCTAAATTACAGGATGGACGGGTGCTAGTTGGTCGTGAACATGGGATAACCACAGTTCAGGTAACTGCTCAAAATATACCTATATAGGTGGGGAGAATTTGGGGTGAGAGCAGTTGATTACTGGCTATAATATAAAAGGCTGTTATGTCTGGGACAAACATTAATTTAACACAGACGTCTGAATAGGTTTCACTTTTGTTTCTAGTCATTTTCATTGCTTGATTCTCAATTACAGCAATACAATGCAGTTTGGGCCAGTTTTTCAAAGGTATTTATGTACCTAAAGATGCAGATAGGCGGCTAATGGGATTTTCAAAAGCACCTAAGCAGGTTAGGCACTTAACTTCTTTGAAAATGCCACCTGACAGCTATCTTTAGCTGTAGGTGCTTAAATATCTTTGAAAATGTGGCATTTTGTGTTTACAAAATGGTAGCGGGAACTTAAAATTATTGATATTTAATTAAAAAATCATGAACTGTTTCTTTCTGCATTTGCTTACATAACCTCCCATTATATCCTTGTATACAAAGTCTATATTTTGGACCTAAAATAAAAGGACAGTGACATTTTGGGCATGAACCAACACTCAGTGAATAGAAAGACTCCCATTGACTTCATAGGCAGTGGAATCAACATCCTTGGGCTAGATTTCCAAAGGTATTTAGGCACCTACAGGTGAAGATAGGCATCAACTGGGATTTAGAAGAGCACCTAAGCAAGTTAGGTAACTAACTCCCATTGAAAGTCAATGGGTGTTTAGTGCCTAATTCACTTAGGCACTGTTGTCAATCCCAATAGCATATTTAAGCACCTAAATACCTTTGGCAATCTGGACCTCTGTCTTTTTAAAGAGATCAGCCCAGCTGAGCTCTTACAGTTTTATATTCTGAGGCCAGTAGACTGTATTTCTTGTCTGTCAAATTACAGTATCAGTATTATTCAATAGCCAGCAGTGTAATTATATTAATTGGAGATTTTACAGAAATTGTAAATGTAACTATATATTTTTTAAAAAATCAAATACATTCAGTTTAGTTCATTAATCTCCATTCTGTACCATGCTGCTCAGGGATGAGGCTGTAATTTAAAAACAATGACATGTTTAATAAAACTATTTTTGGTATATATAGTAATTAAATGGCAAACGGGTGTAACGTTTTGGGAAACATCAATTATACCTTATAATGAATGCAACACACACAGAACTGAATTGAAAATCTAGTTACTCTGTTTTAGAACATTGAGTCATTTGTTGTTTAAAACAAGAAGGCATACTTGCTTTTTGAAGGTGCTGTCGCCTCTCTCTGATTCCATCCTGGCTGAGAAGACAGTGATTGTGCTAGACGACCGCGTAACAATCACAGACCTAGGCGTACAACTAGTAGCGGGCTTGTCTCTGTCTTTACAAATAAGCAAAGGAAATAAGAGAGCTATTGTTTCCACAGCATCTGCTTGTGATATTCTTCATACCCCAAAACAGGTATGGTCCAAAATAGTATTGATAATTATAGTTGGTTTGTTACTGTGTTTTGTAGGATGCCAGGCAAAAGCCTCATGTATAGCTATGCAGCATGTATAACGTATGCCTGTTTGAAAAGCAGGACGTCTCATACAGCTTAAGACACAGTTCCCCCTCGTAGCTTACTCATTGCTGGCCTACTCCCACCCAAAGACCCATACCACATGTGTAACAGATTGGCCATGCATCTAGTCCAAGATTCCTAGCAATGCATGTTGCTCATGGCAGCTGGCTGAGCATACCCCTCCTTCCAGAGGACCACACCCCATTGGGGAAGAGGAGTGTGTCATTGCAGTGGGCATGTGTACTTCCCAAGGCACTCCAGTGTGCGATGGAAGGTTCCTGGCTACTTAGCTAGGGGCAAGATTCCCATCCCTATACCTTGTTCCCCCTTGATTTGGACCAGTATAGCCCAGGGAAGCTCTTAGCTCAATGTGAACATCTCACTGATTTGCATGGCTGAAATCTTCTCTGAGGGTTTTGAGTACCTTCTATGGGTTCAACCCCTGCAGCCCCTACCCAGACTAAGTAGTACGGCATTTGTATGATCAGGCCCATTCATTAGGATGAGATGGATGAGATTCAGCCACCCTCTTTGTGCTCACTTTATTCTGTAAGTAGTACCAAGAGTGAAAATGAAACTATGAAAGGAGTAGGGTATATAACTCAGTGTGAGACAGAGTGGTGGAATCTTGTCCTACAGAAGCAGGTAAGATTTTTCCCTATTAATCAAAGCAGTTATGTTTTGATAGTGAGGTATGTCATGTGCAACTATGTTTGTAGCATGACTAATGCTGCTGTGAAAAACATTGAGTTTGAGCAAACTATCCTCAAAATGTAAGCAGCAGCACCTTTTTGTAAGTGTTTCTGTGGTGTCCAAAAGGAACGACAATCATTTCTATACCTTTCCCATACCATTGCATAGTTAGAAATACTATGATTGAAAATGTGAAATATTTCATTCAAATCTGTTTCATAATGCATTCTGTTTAAATAGACTGAGCATGAACACCACACCTAGAGTTTATACAAGTGCATTACATTACACATAATGTTAAGGCCAAGGAGCATTTTCAAAATGTCCCTTGTTATATGACATTTTTCTAAATTTATTAAAAATCGTGATTTTGGAAATCTGATTATTTTCATCAATGGGCTTTGATGTTGAAAAGTGACTTCTCACTTTATACCCAGAAATAACTGTGGGCATGGTTTTGCAAGCACATTTTATTAGAGTGAACCTGCAAATAAGATGAATATCTAAATGGAATAGAGCACACAAAACCAGAAGCTGAGTTGAAGCATTTTTGTAAAAACAAACAAAAAAACAAACAAAAAAACCCCCATAAACAAAGCTACACAGTATATTTATAACACTGGCGTCAAGTAAGTGTAAGCTCTCAAAACCCTAAAACGTGGTGTCTTAACTTTCAAACTATTATTTCTCCCCTTTCCCTCTTATAGGAAGCCATAGTCAGTGCTTGGATTTTGTTCAGTGATGGCTCTGTGACACCTTTAGATATTTATGACTCCAAGGATTTTTCTGTCACAGTCACTTCACTGGATGAAATGGTGGTATCTGCCCAGCACAACCTTCAGTCAAAGTGGCCTCTGGTAGTTGCAGAGGGTGATGGGCAAGGACCCCTGATTAAAATTGAAATGGTGATCAGTGAACCTTGCCAGAAGACGAAGCGAAAGAGCATTCTGGCTGTTGGTAAAGGAAATATCAAAGTGAAATTTGGCCAGAAAGAGTCTGACCACAAAGGAAGGACCAACAACATTGATGATGTAGATAGAGAGTTTAACCATCATCTGAACAATGCTATAGAGAACACGGCAGAACAGGAGAGGACAGTGCAAGAATGGGCCAAACATGGAACCTTTATCAATCATGAAGACAATGCTAACAAAAGCACAACTTCCAAATCTCCCATTGATCAGAACAAGGCTCATGAGGATGGCCTCCAAAATAACCCAACTGCTTTCACAAGTTTTCCTACCCAAGTAGAGGTACCAGGACAAAATAATCCCAATGACCTTGCGTTGACTTCTAGAGGGTTAACTGATTTGGAGATTGGCATGTATGCCCTGCTGTGTGTTTTCTGCCTAGCAATTTTGGTCTTCTTAATTAACTGCGTGGCATTTGCTTGGAAGTATAGACACAAAAGGTTTGCTGTGAGTGAGCAAGGCAACATCCCCCATTCTCATGACTGGGTCTGGCTTGGAAACGAGATTGAACTCTTGGAAAACCCTGTTGACATTTCGCTCCCCTCAGAGGAGTGCACTACTATGATTGATAGAGGGCTGCAGTTTGAAGAAAGCAACTTTCTCCTTAATGGGAGCTCGCAGAAGACTCTCCATAATCAGATCCTCAGATCTTGTGAGTATGCTTGTGAGAAAGAAGTTAAAAGTGAACCTATAAATCCTTCTGGGCCAAAACGGAAGCGGGTCAAGTTCACTTCCTATACCACAATACTGCCAGAGGATGGAGGTCCTTACACCAATTCAATTCTATTTGACAGTGACGATAATATTAAATGGGTATGTCAAGATATGAATCTTGGCGATTCCAAGGAACTTAGAGACTATATGGAAAGACTGCAAGACAATATGTAAAATACTTTCTTATGTTTGTATTCACCTTTATGCCTTCTGTTTTACGGATAGTGGAGCAGTCAGTCCAGTCAGCAATAGGTTACAAAGGAGTCTAACTTTTGGAGGTTCTAAGACGATAACTGCACATCATCGAGCGGGTACAAGAGGCTGGCTGAGCTAATCCTGTTTCACTATAAACCAGGATGTGTCCCTGAAACAGCTACATGTAGGTGTTGGAGGTGTCGCACATGATGGCTGTTTTCATATACTGCCTGGTACTAGCTAAATGCTAATACAATTATGCTCAGACTCAGCGGAGACTACAGTTGTTTGTCAACTCATGATAAACAGTGATTCAGAAAACAAGGGATTTTTTGGTTGATTTTTCTAGTCGTCATCCTTTGTAAAGCACAGTGGATATTTCTTGCGTACAGCCTGAGACTAGGCTTACTTTAAAAGAGATCTGAATGAATCTGTCCAATTTTATTTGCCTATGAGCAATGCAGCCAAGTAGTCTCATTATATTTTACAGCTACAAACACCCACATGTGGTTAATTTCTTATCTGTATTGTTTATGAAGATGGTTTGATTTAGGGAACATTAAATATTTTCTTTAGAGATTTTTTTTTGATTGTACCAAAGTGTTCCACAGTATATTTACAGTTATTCAGGTTTTCTATTCATGTGCATCAGCTCTAAAGGATACCTCTTCATCACTGATTATCTTTCTCCTTCCCATGCAAATCTTTAATATTTGGAATGTAGAAACAAATTAGAAATCTCACACTGGAAAAGGGTTGTATCTTTTTACAGGGAACTGTATATACACAACAATAAACCCTGGAAAATAAAAATCAAGCAGCAGCCCTGGGTTTATTTTGGTCATTGACAATATGAAAAATAACTTAAAACAAAGCAGAACACACTTTAAAGCAAAATTCCTCCAATGAAACAACACTTATGGAAATTCTTTGTGGGCAACACATGTTGTTTTGACGATAAATGCAAACGTAGTATTGAAATGCACTGAATAGGAAGCAGATTGCTTGGGAAATAAGCAAAGACCTGAAACTGGTATTACACTGTATTAAAAATATATATATTATATTGATGCTGCAGTTTAGCAGTACATAGACATCCATCTACAATGGCTGGTGCACACAGGCCCTGTCTAAAAGCCATCTCTAATCATATGTCTGGTACAGAGAAAACCTTTACAACAAGCTCCATAACAAAAGAAAATACTGGGCACAGTTATATAATGGCTATTCCCAAATTTGACAGGAATGCTGGAGATTCAAAGCTTCCATTCCACAAACATTATATGCATTTTTACATTGAAGTACGATTGAAGTGTGTTGAAAATTGTAGCAAAGAAACCTTTTCGCATGAAATGTCTAAGGCTTGGTCTACACTAACCCCCCAAATCGAACTAAGGTACGCAACTTCAGCTACGTGAATAACGTAGCTGAAGTTCGAAGTACCTTAGTTCGATCTTACCTCGGTCCACACGCGGCAGGCAGGCTCCCCCGTCGACTCCGCGGTACTCCTCTCATCTAGCTCGAGTACCGCAGTCGACGGCGAGCACTTCCTGGTTCGACTTATCACGTCCAGACAAGACGCGATAAGTCGAAACCAGAAGTTCGATCACTCGCCGCCGAACTACCAGGTAAGTGTAGACATACCCTAAGAGAAGCAAAACAGTACATTGGCCCATCATGAGAAAATGTAATTGACAGCTGATCCAAAGGCAACTGCCTCACATCCCCCCACTCTCCCAAAATAATGAACATGATGGCACTTTAGTGTGAGCTCAGACGTACCACATATCTTAATAAACTAATGCTCAAGATATTTAACATACAGTTTCTCCTTTTCCAATTGAGCAAGGATTGCTAGAGAAGTCTTGATTGCTATTGTGAACCTGATTAATAAAACCAGAAAATCTTTATAAAATTCAGCTCCTCCAGATTTTTCTGCATTTGGCTAACGCGTAAGTAGTTATCCACTCAGTTCAGCAAACTGCTTAGAGTCCATCCATATTCAGCAAAGTACTTAAGCATATTCTTAAGTCCCATTGATCCCAAAGTGACTTTAATACTTTGCTGATTCGGGACCAGTATTTTAATGTCAGACAAGAGTCAGAAGCCACACTGTTTATACTGTCCCTCTAAGAACAAGACTTGAAAAGAGCAAAATGGTAATTGTTGTGTGTTTCACATTAAAAGTTATGTAGCCGTGAGACCAGGATCACTAAGAGTAGAGTGCACATATTTCCACGCTGGTGTTCCATTGTGTGCACATATAAAATAAACGATGACGTGGAAAAATACAGAGAATATAAGAGGAATTTATAGTCTAGCATGGCTGTTAGCTGATCTGACAAAGAATTTCACTTAGGCCAACCCACTCTCTAGTACAGGATCTGTTTGGTTTTGGAGCCTTGATCTTTGTACTATGCAGGAGTCACACACAGCAAGTCCACCTAGACATCAAGTCTGGTCGCCAGTTACAAAATACAAACAGTTAAAAAGAGAAGTAAAAGAACTATAGTCGTTAACAAAAACTCAGTAAACAAAAACAAAACAATGGGAACCAGAATTTAGCCTGCCACACCAATACATAGAATCTGGCAAAGATGGACAATGCTCTGGAACTACAAAAATATATTATAGTTAAACTTTAAAAGATCTAACATGCTACATGAAAGTTCAGAAATAGAAAGTGACAATAAATAAAAATGCACAAGGCCAAAGAATTAAAAAAACAAAGGACAACAAAAACTGAGAAAATGAGAATGTCCAAAGTGTCCCCCTCAGTTGCAGCAGTGTAAATGCAGAGCGACACCATTAAAAGCAGCGGAGTTACTCTGGATCTACACCAGTGTAAAAAGTACCACTCCTGTGAAATGAACACTATTTGCAGATCAAGTGAAAGAACATCAAATAAATATTTCTGAGGCTAATTATTAACCAAAGGAAGGAATGACATTTGGAGGCAGATTATATATCATCAAGAAACTTCAAATGACTAAAACCCACCTGGGTCTCTCCAAAATTCTCTAATAATAATTAGATTGCTATGTCCACAACTATTAAGCTTCAGTAACTGCAGAGATAGGAAACTCCGATGGCTCCATACAGAATAAACAACTCATATTTGTGATGCATACTGTTCTACATAAAGAAAAGGCAATATGTTGCATAGAGGGTGTTTTTGTTTCCTCCCTTCTCTCTCCGCACCCCTTCCCTGCCAACTATCCATACAAGGGAGGATTCACTGAATATGTTGGATTCTTAGCAACTTTAGAACTGTAAAATGCCAGACTCTCAGCTACTGTAAATCATTGAGTGGTTATCTCCACCAGCTGAAGATCTGGCCCATGGAGAATACTGAGGAAAGAATTCATTTCCAACTGTGCAGAACTATTATATTTCATTTGGACATTATAGACTAGCTCCATATGGCTTGTCTCTGCACACTTCCTGATTTAAATACAAATTTGGGAAAACAGGTCCCCCTAGTCCTCTGGATGTAGAATGATACAGCTTCATAATGGTACCAGATGCTGTTCCTTAATTCTTAGTGGGGAATGTAGAAGAAAATCTTCCAGCCATATGATTCAGTAGAAACAGTATATTATATAATGGGATACAATCTGTATTTCAAGGTGGAGTGCATCATGAATGGGATACCAAATAGTCATAGACGATATGCTCTTTTCTGAAATACATATTGTATACACTACATTGAAATACACTGTATAGTCTATAGTGAAATGCATACGCTAACTACTGAATATACAACACTGAATATGTATATTCATCATGCCCCAAATATTTATACAGTATGGTAAGTCTTAGATGTATAACATAATGAAACCTGTACAAAATAAACTGTAAATTAAGACAATGACAGATGACTTTTATACCTGTGTAATTTGTATACCGATTAAGTTATTCAAGCCTCAGTTTACATCATTAAATGTGCCATTTTTTAAAGTTCATTTTCTATAGGACAGAGTTCAGAAATAAGACTTCACTCTCCAGCAAAGAAGCACTTGAGTGACATTGTGAAACCTGTGAACTCTAACATAGAAATAAACAGATTGCTCATGTGATTCTTCAATTCGACTCTACTATTTTAATCACACAAAAATGAAGGTGATGGGCCATGTGTGTGTGGGGTGTGATGGGCTAGGGAGTTGCATGCACTATTTTGGCAAACCAATAACATGTGGGGTTTTACTCCTTTGGCACCCACTGCTCACATCGGGGTGGATTTTCAGGCTTTGATACAAATGTTTCATACAGTCCTATGTATGATATGCCAGTCCAGCCCATTGATTCCATACTGAGGCACTGGGAAAATGGTAGTGATAGTTTGCAGGGCCTAAAATACAAAGGATCTGTAAATGGTGCACATCATCCAACGTTCCACAGTTTTAGTAAGAACACTCCTATAGTTGTGTGAAATATGCTTGTAGTTTTGGGAAGTGGGTTTCAGATTAACCCCCATGCCTGTGCATTTCCCAATGCAAATTATGGGCTAGATTCTTATTGCTACTACGCCGATGTGAATCATTTTATGTATTTATAGGATTCCTGGGGTGCACGTGAGGATGGTATCTGAGCATCTCCTATTAATTATCCTCACAACACACTATTGAGGTAGATTATTAGCCCCATTTTAGAGATGGGGACCTGAGTCAGATGGCTTATGTGACTTGCACAAGGTCCATGGCGAAGTCCAAAACATAATGCAGATCTCCTGTAGCCCAGTATGCTACCTTTAAGCACAAGACCATCCCGCCTCCCACAGTCAATACAGTAACTGAAATCAGAGTTACATATGTGTCCAAGCCTTCTCTCATTGATCTCAATAGGAATAGATTTGGGTCCCCAATGCGTAAATTGGCAGCCACCAATGCCAAAGGGTCAACTGCGTTTGCCCTAATAGGATCCATTACTATTGCTTTCTTTATTAAAAACACCTTTATTTCTAATTTAATGAAATTTATCTGATAGTGAACAGGTGCCTGGGATGTAAGCTGGGATCTTCAAAGAGGCCGGATGCTGAATTTTAATGGATTTTGGGCATGTAACTCCCATCAGCCGCATTGAAAATCGCAGCAGTGGTAAAGGAGAAATTTTCAGAAGTGAAATATTGTCCTGAATGGTATTGATGGGGAATTACTTTGGGTCTGACATCGAGTAGCGTCTTCCTAAACAAGGCGACTCCAGGGCGATAACTCATGTTGTCGGGTTCTACTCAGTGCATCAGAACATGGACCTTTATACATAGAACAAATTCTTGTGTCTAACTCCAGAATCTACAGTTACATTGCCCATAAACAGCCCTACAATCAAATGATAAAAATCAACCTACCCCTCCAATGTACCTACCAAAACGATCTTTATGGGATGCCTTAACGACATGATGGAGATAGCAGGAGAAGAGTGACTCGATGACCCAGTAGGTCCCTTTCAGTCCTATGTACAAATGAAAAAAATTACATGGATCAATAAACAACTGGATGACAAGTAGGGTACAATTAGGGCCTGGTTTTCAGTTGAAGTTGTGTCTGAACCTTCCCCCCCGCCCTCGAGCCTTTAGAGTTTGACAGCAGAAAGATCTGAAGGATGATATTTGTCAGAAGTTAAATAGGACAAATCGTGAAGTCCTGATGCAGCTGAAACTCCCACTGGTGTTACCAGGAGTTGTGACCAAGACAGGACTGAACAAGGGCTGCATGATTCTGTTGTATAGGGAAAAGGATAGATAATTACTGATCAGATCTGAGGCCTGAATAGCTTGATGTGTCTTCATATTACACAAAACAAAACCCTGCTATCTTC